TTATACACACGTGTATCCCAGGATCACAGGCATGTCTCATCATGCTGGCTGTATCTAAGTAGTAACTGATAGATTTCACCATATAACTTTGCTCTATGTTTTATCCCTTCAATAAAGAAATGTCGCTATTCTACTGTAGGATGAGAGGAGGGGTTGCTCATTCATCATGGCCACCTGACTGGCAGACTACCCACTCCTTTACCAGCTCGGTTGATGACTATACACCGGTATTCTCCAGCATCCTCATATCTAACATTATCTATTCTGAGTCCACACTTTGATGGAGACAGCTTTATCCTATCTGTGAGCTGCAGATTGTGGTTATTGAAGAACCAACGGATGGAGATTCTGGTGTCCGGTGAAACACAGGAGAATGTCACAGATCTGTTTGCTTTGACTGTGGTGTCAGTTATTCGAATGAAGGGCTCTGTCACAGGCTCTGTGAAAAAAAAAACAGAAGGGGACAATATGACAGTAGTCCTTCGGAGAGCTCCAGCATTCCCTCTTTAGTGCATACTTTAAAAAGCCTCCAAGGGGGAGAAGTTAGATTTCTGACTATAGACATATCTTATGCTTTTGATCAGACACCAATGGCCTGTGTTATCCTGATTCATCCACTGTGCTTCCTATCACCATCCAGTGCCTGGCTGATTCTCCCAAGGTCTCTCTTGGGGATTTGTGCATGGTGAGAACCCCATTGAGGCTGATGTGCTCATGCTGAATTATCCCACACATGTTCTTCTCTGTGGAGGTAGAGACTAGTGAGGTATTATGATTCTGAATCTATAGTTTGTCTACCCAGTGTGTGTCCTACAGAAAGTGCCCAAACCCCAGTATGGAGACACAATGCAGCAAGAGAGAGAATAGGCATAATCCAACCCTGCCAATCCAGTTTATGAAGTAGGATAAGTCATACCCAGCAGCCAGAGGCCATTGAAAGTCACTTACTGTCTACATAAAACTGCACATGTGCTCTTTCAACCTTGTTATCTATATTTAAAATTTCTAGTGTATACATTCTTGCATCTTCCTCAGTGATGTCCAGGAGCAGTAGGGATCCACTGGCATACACCATCCCTCTTTCTCTGTATGCATCACTCCATGTGGTGATATTCCAGATTACATGGTGGTCTACAATTTTAAAGTTTGGGATCGTATACATCGAATAGTACCAGGAGAAGGATATCACCTCTTCTGGCAGATAATGAACGAGGAGAAGAATACTTTCTCCTTCAGAAGCATACCGTGGCACAGGTTCTACCATGAATTTGGCAGAAGTCAAAGAGTTACAGCACTGAAAAACAAGACCTGGAAGGGAAAAGAGAAAAAGTAATCACATGTAGCTCACAGTGCTTGGTGTAATGATGGTGACCTTCATCCTGAGCAGATGAATTATTGACTTAGCATAGAGAGGCAGATGAGCGTGTATCTATCCCACTTAAAGAAGCTGGACAACATGATCTACATTCCCTCATTAGCTCCTGAACATTGCTTCTTCTCCATGGAGGCTTCCCTTTTGTGTGTATATGGCTGCTTCCTTGCTGCAGTTGGACACTATACACACTCGTCCATGCTGGGGTTTGAGGTGATGCCCCACTGAATTTTACAGGTCCCAGATTTTTACTTTCTGTTTGTTTGTTTTGTATTCTTAGTTTCTCTTGTGTCTCCAGTTAATTTCTAACTTCACCTTTTAGGCATTCTTGCTGCTTTTCCTAGTAGCTCACAGGGGTAGGGTTGTGTAATAGCCAGGAACAATCTGGTATTCAGGCCAGCCTAAGGATCTTGGAAGAGGCTGTAGTATTAGGTTGATGGTTTATGTCAACTTGACACAATGTAAGTTCTTTTGAAAGTCAGGGCTTGAAAACACTACCAACACCTTGGCCAAATGACAAGCCTGTAGTATATTTTTTAAATTGAAGACTGATATGGGAGGGTCTGCACCACTGCAAACAGTTCCATCCCTTGACTAGGGGCCCTTGGTGATATAAGAGGGCAGGTTGAACAAGCCATGATTAGCAAGCCAGTAAACAGTACTCTTCCGTGATCTCTGCACCACTTCCTGGATTTTATTTATGACATTCTCAATTTGGAGCTAATAAAGATCACAATTTGACATGGACATAAAAAAAAATCCAAAAAACCAAAAACCAAAAATAAAAGAAAAATATTGTTCCCTATCAGTTTTAAGAGGAAATAAGAATGGAGAACACGAAGTATGCTTCCCTGGGTCACTTTAGTCCAGCCTTTGAAAGATGGCATTGCTTGGGGTCCCGGGTTTAGAGCCCCAGGAGACTGGGCAGAACCCGACATCTTAGGCTGAGTTACATCAAAGTGTCTCTTCATGCAGGTGGAGTCAAAAGAGGGAGTCTAATCCATGGCCATTTGTCTCTCCATGTATGTCTGGCACTAAGTGCTGTAATCTTCCCATGGGGACATGGTAGAGAGAGGAGGGAGGCAAAGGCCAGGCAAGACAGTCCTGTGTGTCTAAGCCCCACCCAGTACTAAACGGTTACAGGAGAGTGATTTCAGGAAATCACTTACTCTCCACCTGGATTTCTACATGTGCTTCTTCACTCTTCATATCTGTAC